TGATGAACGTAGAAGTTACAGTCAATATATTCAGTAACCTTGTAAACCACTTAACTTACTTGGCAAACAGGAAAATATAGATTCTGGAGAATTAGAATGAATTAAATGCACTATATTAAGAAATGAAAGGAACGCATAGAAGTTTATCACTCGTACCCACTGAAAAAACCTTGTTTGGCTTTGAGTACTTCAGTACCATAACGAACTGCTCGTCGAAGAATCCGTCTCAGTACATACTCACGACCCTCATTACCTACATAGCAAGAAAGACTGAGCAACTTAAAATTGAAAACCACTAATGATACCAAAAAAAAATGAAAATAACAAAGCCAATGAATAAATAAGCAATCCCTGGTTGATATCTACATAGTCAAAGCTAAGCTTAAAAGGCATATCCTTTTACTTGGCTATGATACATATATGCTTAATCGCACTATATAATTCAGATTGCCAACATAAAAATGCGTCCATTTCGCCTGGTGCACAAAAGCTTAATACCCACAAAATGATCAAAAAAGAAACAATTCAGTCCCTTCACAGTTACAATTATATATATCTAAAGTTCAAACTAAAAAAAAAATTGTAACAGTCTCTCTCTTGTGCATGGTTTTCTGAATAGAACAATGTTGCAAGAAACAAATAACTTTCAAGAAATTGCCAATTTACTTTATCAAACAGGAAGGTAACATAAGCAAATAGAGCTCATACACCATTACACTTTCCACACCCAAAAGTCAAAAGAACAAGTACATATTTCCATATTGCCCCATACATATTTACACAATAATTGTGTCTGCAATACCAGAAAGAACTGGGAAAAAATTAGGCTTCAGACTACTACATAATTCACAAGCAAGCAGGAAGCTTGAGGGACTAAGTCCAAGTATCCTGTGTTCCACCTGGACAAGCACCATCAGCAATGGCAAATGATAGAGTTCTGATATGGTCAGCCACAACCCTGTATGCCATGTCCACATTGTCAGCATCATCAGCTCCAATTTTCCCGGAGTATGCTCTAGCACCAGTCGCCTACCAGGGAAAGAAGAATGTTGGATATTTACTTCTGGAAACATTTACAGCAAAATAATAGATGCTGGCTTTCGGGTATGTCAAGGTAATAAATTTATTTCTTGTTGATCTTTACTAAGGACCAAGAAGGAATGAGTAAGAGTAGATCTCGCATGGTATATGAGAAGAATTTCAAAACCCTATGTTCGTAGATTAAGAAAAAGAATGAAGAGTAAAGAACAGACATTTTGGTAGCAAGGAAAAAATGAAAAGAGCTCTCTTTCTCTTGGGACAAAGAAATTTTTGTATATAATTTGCACGTTAAACACAATATTCCATTGAGACGATTGATCTGATAAGGCATAAAAGGTAAGAAGCTCTCAATATATTTTTTACCTGTTTCTACCCATATGTTCAAAAACTATAGATGGATATATTCTCTATAGTTCTCTAGGTTTCCTCTTTTACTCTCCTTCTAAAATTCTTGAAAGGAGATAACCACTACTTACTTTCTCGATTGTTTCTTTTCTCCCAACTCCTAAATTCCCTAACAACGCATCTTTCCATAATAGTCAAAAAAAGATACATCCTTGAATTCAGTATAAAGAAGGCATCCTAAACACACTTGACAAGAAATTAAGCCATCAATAAAGCAGTTATTAAAAAACAAAAGCTACAATGAGGACATGAACAAGTGTCATCAAATATCAGTAACATAGAAAACACAGTGATCGTACAGGAAAAGAACGAAAAGAGACAAGCGATGCCATATTGGACCTCACATAAAGATCAGAAAACAAAATACACAACAGGTGACACCATCATATTGGACTAGCCATGGACTAGCCAGCCAGGACTATTGACTGTGCACAATCTTCTACATGATTTTAAAACAGAATTGCACATGGCAGTGATTCTACCTGTTGAATGGCCTCAAAGATTGGTAAGAACACGTCAGTATCATAATTGCTCATCTTGTTCTGGAGGACGGACGTTAATCGTTCAAAACCCAATCCAGTATCAACATGTTTTGCAGGTAAAGGTTTCAAAGAGCCATCACTTTCCCTGTTAAACTGCAGAACAGATATCAAGAACTTAGACTTGTTTAAATAACAAGTTCAGTTGGATTAATTTCTCTTTTAACAAGAAATCATTTCAATCTACCTAATGCTACCTGAATAAAGACAAGGTTCCATATCTCAATAAGGGTTGGATCATCGTTGTTGACAAGTGAAGCAGCATCGCGATTACCAATCCTATCAAAGTGTATCTCTGCGCAAGGTCCACAAGGCCCAGTATCACCCATCTCCCAAAAATTGTCCTAATCAATGTAGCATAACAATTTAGCATACAAGCATAATTGAAGCTAACATAGAGAATTCACATGAGGATGTGAATCTCCAATACTGTCTTGTATAGCGATAAACAAAGCTCATAGAAAAGGGCAAGCACAGCACAAGGCACCAGCACACAAGGTCCCGTAAGGGCTAAAGACTGCAGCTTCTTTCCAGAAATTCAAAATTATGAATTAAAATAAATAAATAAAAAGGCCCCCCCCGGTACATTCATAAAAAGGCAACAATCAGATCATGACCTTGCCCCAGCAGGCACCATAGCATACGAGTATTCACGCTTAAGTAAACAACTACTAAAGAGCGAAAATAGACAACCTATTCATCTCGTCATTTATCCTAAAGATAGGAATTTATTGAATTTAATGTACACTACCATTTTGATTAAACAAGATTGCTCGTTGCAGTCATTATCTCTTTTGGCACCACCCTATATTGCTGCAGGCAGATTCTCTTGATCTTATGCTCCATAGAGATGAAACTGGAAGAATTGATTTCCTTCTTAAATTTTTTGACTTCTCAAGATTTGTTGATTTGTAAATGTTACATATCTTCCTAGATTCCCTATAATGCTGTTCCTAGATTTATTATAGGAATAAATCACAACCACCTTAGTAATGATTTTATCAACCGATGCCCAAGCCACTGTCCCTCAAATCCACACAGTCTCAAAGCAGACAACCTGGTAGTCCTCCCCATTAAGCTCCATGTTTATACAGGAAAATAAAAGTTTGTTCAAGTAAATAACTTAAGAGAAGCATACTTTAGAACCAAAAGGCAGAACTCGTTTGTTTGGAAGAAACTTGAGCCAGAGATCCCTTGCTTCAAAATCAGCCGGAAGACCAGATTTATCATCACCACCAAAATAAGTTGCATATATTTGGTCAGCAGGTAGCCCATAGATCTGTACTAACAACAAAGCATACTTCAGGCAAAAGAAATCACTTAACATTGATTGAGAAAATGTCACATAACAAGTCAATAGAATACAAGTGAAGTGTTTTATTCATGGCAGCAGGTGCTAAATTGTAAAATTATATTTGAAATTGCAGCACTTGCCTTGGTGAGTAGCTCCCAAGCCCATTCAATAGCTTCGGTTTTAAAATAGTCCCCGAATGACCAATTGCCAAGCATTTCAAAGAAAGTATGGTGGTAGGTGTCCTTGCCAACGTCGTCAAGATCATTGTGTTTACCACCAGCCCGAATGCACTTCTGCGTGTTGCATGCACGGGTGAGTTTGCTCAAGGGAGTGTTTGGGTCTACCGTGCCCAGAAAGATAGGCTTGAATTGATTCATACCTGTAAAACAGCAAATTGTTTGGATTGTGAATTTTCGCTGAAAAACTTTTATATTTTCTGCTAACACATTTCCCAATCACTTTTTATCCTCTCATACGTCAAATTGTTACAACAAATTTTTCTACAAAAACTCCAAAAAATAGCAACCAAAGGGAACACATTTTACAAGGCCAAAGAAATTACAATGGTTTCTTTTTTCCTTTAAAAAAAATTGAAATTCTGGTGTTGACAGTCTCTAGTAGTGAAGAAATTGGAAGCGTTCGGTCGATGGTGAACAATATACAACACAGGTGAAGATGAATACGCAAAAAAGACCACTCTACGATAAAATTGACACAACAAGTTGAAGGGGGAAACGGATATCAATTCAAAGTGAAAGCAAGGAATGTAATAAAAAGATGAAATGGAAATAAAACAGGACAGAAAGAATAAAGGAAACAAACCAGCATTCGCGAAAAGAAGGGTCGGGTCATTGAGAGGAACGACGGCGCTGGATTTCCAGTTGACATGATTTTTGCCCTCGAAGAAGTTAAAGAAAGTCTCTCTGACCCTGCTGGCCGGCCAATCCGATGCTGTCGTCGGCTGCTGGGAAGCCATGGCCGAGAGTAGTAGTGATGGGGAAACTGAACAAGAAGAAGAATTTTTTAGAATAAGATGCTGATGCAGAGGAGGAGGAGGAGAAGCAGCGAATCCTCTTCTAATGCTTATTCCTCTTCTGCCACCGCCGCCTAAAGCAAACGCAAGGACTCGGCTCCTCTCCAGCGCTACTCTTGACCAGTCTCTCAGGCTCCGTTTGAACCTGAGTTTTTTTAAGTTTATTCAAGGCTCTGTTTGGATTGTCAATTTTTGCAAAAACTGTTTTCAACATAAGTAGAATAAGAGCCGAAGAGCTCTGATGACCTGGATGGTTTTCGTCGTCCTCTCACGTGCGTTGTGCGTGGTTCCTGACGACATCGTTTTGTGTTGTTCGCCTCTTTCGCTGGTGGTTTAGCTTTGTTGTCTTCTTCCATGACGTTCGGCACTGTTCTATGTCAGAAAGGCAGTCTGCACTTGGTCACTCCCATTTCACTAATCCAGCTAGCCTTCGTCCTCATCTAATAACGGCAATAAATAATTTCTGTACTACTTTTGCTCTTACTCTTCGGCCTTTTTTTCAGCTTTTCAGTCGGAGCATTAATGGGTTTAGGGTTTCGGGTTTGGGGTAAAGAATAGAGACCCCACACTTCTCTCTTTCTTTTCTTTCCTCAGAAGCTCCGCCACCTTCTTCCTCTCCAAAGCGTTTCATCTCTCATTTCTTCTTCGTTCATTTTTGTTATTTTTCCTTTCTCCTGCACGATCATAGATGACTTCCGAAAATACTCGTGGACGGTTTGCTCTGTGGTTGTGCAGGTGCCGTCTCATTTGCTGTCGTACTTTCATATCTCTACGAGCAAGACTGGAAAGACGCCATTTTAGTGCTCTTATATTCTCAAATGTGAAGCTTCCCTCTCGCATCGGATTGACGGCTATTCTGGTGGTATCTCATTGGGAATTCTGTGTCCCTACGGCAACTGGGGTCAATGATTCCGACTCAGTGGACTCTACTTTGATCCAGTCCATAAGGAGGAAGGTTTGATCCACTGAACGTATCTCTTTTTTGCCCTTCTTGTATGATACATTCTGTATAACGAGCTCCTCTGATCATTTTCTTCACTTAGTCGGAGCAATCTTTGGTGTTGTTTTATTCGCATAAAAACAGTTGATCCTGTGTACCTGCGGCAAAAGAGTGCAGATGGATCTGAGCTATTTTATTTCTATTCAAAAATTTGCCTTTTTAATTTCGTTTCTATTTTTTTTTCTAATTTTTAACCAATATGACCTCCTTTTTTGGACCCTCTTAGAGATGATCTCAAAGAAAAGCTTCAACCCCAGATCTTCAAGCTAAAGTAATAGAGTGAGGTATGTGCGATTTTCTCTACTTTTTTCCCTAATTATTTCATTTCATAGGATTTTTTTTGAATTTTCCTGATTTTTTTAAAAAATGACAATATTGATTTTATTAGAAATGGCTCTACCGAAATTTTTCTGGCTGATTTTCAAGTTTATTATTGCTAATTAATTGGATTACTGGAATGGACAGGTTGTTGCAGTTAAGCAATTGGATAGAAATAGGCTTCAGGGTAACCGGGAATTTTTTGTTCAGGCTCTTATGTTCAGTCTTTTATATCATTCTAACCTTGTAAATTTAATCGGTTACTGTGCTGATGGGGACCAGAGGCTACTTGTCTATGAGTTCATGCCCTTGGGATCATTGGAAGATCATCTTCATGGTATCATTTCAGGCATTCTTGTTCATTATCTTGTCAATTCTTTGTGGTTTAGTTATTGCATGTTCAGCAAGAAGTCCATCCCATTTTTAAATTGAATTTACATGTTTACTGAAATTTACAAACTGCGTACACTTTCTTAAGGAAGGCTTGATGACAGTGTAAGTTTTGTTTAGAAAGTTAATTGGGCTTTTTTCTACTTAAACTAACTTTTATGTTGATTGTTCTTTCTTTACAATAATGCCGTTTATAAGGAAAAATAAAATGCAGAACTAATGAAGCCTCAATAACAGAGCATAGGCTCAAACTTGCTTATTCTAAGTATGGGGGTCAATGTTCGTTTTAGAAAAAGGGGAAAGGTGGGGTTGGGGGCATATAAGTGGCATAGTATAGTGAATGGATGGTTTGGTGTTTTGAATAGTGGTGATTGGTATTGTATCATGTTATGCCTTTACTCCACATTCTGTTGTTTGAGGTTGATGAAGAGTGGCATAATGCATTTCTTCACTTAGTAAGAGTGGGTTCCTTAGCTGATCATAATGTTAAGGGATCTTGTGCTTTGTGCTTTAATTGCATTCCTGAAACTCTGTCTCTCTCTTTTGTCCTGCATGTGTTTACATTCAGGCTACGAGAGTTTCAGTTGAATGATTTTAAGCCTTATCACTTCTCCACCTAATGTTGTAAGTGAGGATTAACATTGTCAATAGCTATCAACAAGCTGAAAATGTTGAGCACAGATATGAAATTTATTTGTACCACCAAATGACTTTACACACCTTGCATGTGAAAATGACTCACTGTTGTGATTCTCGTAATTGTTGTTTAATAACTTGACTTCTTTTGTGGAAAGCCAAAATGAAAGTCATGCCATTTAGTTTATTTATGTTTGTGTTAAGTGTTCAGTAGAGCATTCCTCTTTCTTAATCTTTGAATGAATTTTGGGTTGTTAGACTCTTATATCAGTTTAACAATGGGGGAATAAATTTTGCATTTAACAAATCTTAATATGTGTGCTTATATTTTGAACAAATTTTGCTCTCAATATTAATGTGTGTGCCTATGATTTTTCTCCACAAGTACAGCTGTTATTGCCACTGTATTACAGTTGTCATAATTATAACTGGTGAATAATGTGCTAATTTTCAATGTCATTTAATACTCCTTTGTTGGGTTTACGTTAGAATACTATTCTGGTAGCTATCGCTTAACATCAACTTTGGATAATGTGCTAATTTTAATGTCATTCAATACTTCTTTGTTGGGCTTATGTTAGAGTACTGTTCTGGTAGCTATCGCACAACATAATTTGTTACATCCTTGTAAACCATTTTAACAATTCTTTTGCAGATCTTCCACCTGATAAAGAACCATTAGATTGGAATTCAAGAATGAAGATAGCAGCAGGTGTGGTCAAGGATTTGGAGTATCTTCATGATAAAGCGAATCCTCCTGTCATTTATAGGGATTTCAAGTCATCTAACATATTACTGGATGAAGGGTTTGTTCCAAAGCTTTCAGACTTTGGGCTGGCGAAACTTGGTCCTACTGGAGACAAGTCGCATGTCTCCACAAGGGTCATGGGAACTTATGGTTATCGTGCTCCTGAGTATGCTATGAGTGGGCAATTGATGGTGAAATCTGATGTCTACAATTTTGGGGTTGTCTTCCTGGAACTTATCACTGGACAGGTACTTTTTTCTCCTCTTTTTTTTTTCCGGAGCATTGGTTTTATGTCTTCAATTTGTTTTTATTTATGAAGTTTAAACTGCCAAGTTACCTTGAGGGATATTTTGTAATTATGAATTTGTCTATAGTCCTGGAAGCCAGTAATATGTTATTTCACTTTTTTATTGGTTGGAAAAAATATGAAAGTGATCTATTTGGAAAAATCCGAATAGATCCTAATGAGGCCCTTGTGAAACTATGGTGGAAGTTGTTTCTTTTTGAAAATTTTTTACTCATAAGGAAAGTGTTACGGTAATTGGTGTAAAGGATATGATTTGGAAGGTATATATTTGTTAATAAAACTTGATAAGATGAACCTTTTGAAACAAGTCTAAGGGATGACCCTCAATCCTGTGAAATACTTTTTTATCTTCTTGTGATCTTTTGTATTTATTTTTAATTAAGAAACTAATGTGTATGAAGGTTGAATGCTTAAGTGGGTTTGAAGGTTTTTCTAATAGTCTTTGTTGTGACTATTTGGGTTGATTTTCTAAATTTTAATGTTTGGATTTTTGGTTGGTGGCAGTTGAGACTTGGGTGTGTGTTTCATGAGGGAGAATCACTTGGATTAGGTTTGTCTCTTTCTTTATTTCTTCTCTGTTTGAACAATCTATTCCAATGCTTCCCTATTCAGCTAGCTTCTTGTTTTATTTTTAAAACTTGTGTTGCCTTTCTTTCTATTGTAGATACGAAGCAATTGTAGAGTTGTAGATAGTCTTTTTGCCCTGCAAATGCTTATTTGATGGCTCCAAGCATATTCAAGAACAACATTTAAGCCTCCACAGGTTATGCATAAAAAATGCTGAATTTGAAAATTAATATGGTTATGCATGTAGTCTTCTATTCCATGCTTCTACTTTAACCAGAATACCTAGAACATTATTTACCTTCTTTCTGTTCATTTTTGTTATATAGCTTTCTCTAACATGCTTGTTTTCTTTATTTCATCAATTTGCTGATGAGAAAATTTGTGAGAAGGACCCTTCTAGGTGGTTTGCTTATGTTTTTTCCTAAGATTTTAGCATCCTGGCTTTTCTAAAAATCATTTGAAATTAATGTAGTGACTGTAATTCTTGTACGGGAGATCTTTCTTTGTTTCTCTTCCTATGATACCTATTCAAATGTTATAAGCATTGTTGTCACTTGGCTGATATTTTCCCTTTTGTTTGTTTGAGCTTGTGGTTTTTATAAATTGAGAAGCATAACTTTTGATATTTTTTGTTCTATTTCTCTATGTTTTGAAGTCATGTGGTTGGGGTTTGTCAAAGGGAAATTGCTGATGAAGATTGCTCACATTCATGAGAAGATTAATCGCTTTACTCAACTTGTAGTTTTGCTCTACCTTGTCTTTTCATGAAAAAATCAGTTGATAAGAAAAGTAAATTTGAAGAGTCCAAATTTTCGAAAGAACCAAAAAATATATAAAGCAAAAACCGTCCTATTTGCTTCGGCATGATGTAATTCTAGAAGTAAAAGTTTGAAAGATTACCTTGCTTTATTGCAAGTAATTATGCTGAACCTGGTTTCAGTTTGTTTGAATTTAAATTCTGTGCTGGGTTTCACTTTTGCTTGATGAAGGTGTCTGAGTCACTGGAATCAGATAAGTCGATGCTGAAGGATCTTAATCATGAATTTGAAGAAAAATTAATTGTGAGTTATTAAAAAAATAGTTATTAGGTTTTCAAGATTAGGTTGTAGCAATTTTTTTTTATTTTCTGAAGCATTTATGTCTACATAATCTACAAGGAACATATGGATAAGCGGGAGAAGGAGATTCAAGAACTACGGTTGCTTGGTGCATCAAATGAGAAGGCTTATGCTGTTTTTCACAATGCTGGATATCTACTTCAGAATGTTCCTGGTCAATCTTGGAGGTAAATTCTGGCATCACTTTGTCTATAAAAAGCAACACATTAATTGGATGAAATTAATAGCTTCTTATTAACATTGGCATCTTTTGAGCTTTAAAATTGTAATTAAGGACTTTAAAAAGTGTTTGAGGTTGTTAGCTGCAACATAATGGTCTTGGCATCAATATACAGAAGAATGTTAATTTCGGGCTGTTTCTTCTTGTCATTTTCCTCTTTTTAACAGGTACAGCTGATATCAATATCGAATAATGTATTCTGACTTGTGGGATTGACGAATCCATAAAAGATGAAAGTTCTACAAATTAGCTTTGTCATCTTCTGTTTTGGGATTTGAATCTAGAGTTGACTAATGTTACATTAGGTTTTAGACAGCAGAATCTAGATTCATGTCTGTCTTTGTTGTTGTAAACTACTGTACTGATAAAAAATTAATGAGGGTTATCTTTTTTGACCAAAAATTTCTATAGTAGGATATTTTGTTGTGTATCATTTGACTTTGAAGTTCCAGTTCTTTTATTAACAGAACTGTTAGGTTCTTTTCCTTTCCTTCTTTTTTTGGTTGAATTATTGAATAGAAGACTGTGATCGCATGGATATTTTACATTGTGATATCTACTCAAGTCAATGCATTCGAAGAGCATTTGCCAATCTTTGGTGCCTTTCACTTTCAATCCGATTCACTGCCTTAGGAACTCATGCTCTAGTGAAAGTACTTGTGTGTGCAAAATATGTTCCAGTTAAAATGTTTGTGTATGTTATTTGGCATATCCCATAATTTAATATTTCATCTAGAAGATCAATGGGTTGGAGGTCTCTTAGTATATTGTCTTCTTGTAACCTCCTCCACATTTCTTAACTTTTCATATGTTTGAAGCTACATCAGTATTCGAATTAGCATGATATGGTAGTAAAGGCATTAATTTATATATTGATGTCGTGTTATAACACTGTAAATTTCTTTTCAAAAGGACAACAATGTATATATATACACACACACACATGTACATGGATAAATTTTTTATACACTAATAGTGTATATACTATCAGGTGTAGATGCATGTCACATATATAAAATTTGATACTTAAATTCAAATTTAGAAGGTGTGGTATTCATGTAATCCTGTCAATGTATATTTACTGATAGTATAGAAAAGATTAATTCATACATTATAAGTATATATTTTATTTCATTATTAAAGAATATTTATTTTTAACTAACTATACAAATTATCATCCACCAAACGTTGTTATTTCATGAATCCATGTTTAACTGGGCATGTTTTCTATTCATTCCAACGCGCATCGCGCGTCTTATGCCTCCTAGTTGTCTTTCAAAAACAACCAAGTATTGTAAGTCTACTACAATAAAGTCTACAGTTAAAATTTAACAAAACTACGTCGTTTTGACTTAATGGCCAAAAGACTTGTTGTCGGACTGCCTTCATCGTTGAGACCCATTCAACCCTAAACTACTTTCCCAAACAAGCAAACATTCTAGCCACTGCAGCAAAAACATAAACTAGAGTGGATTCAAGATCTGCAAAATGCTCCGGATCTGCAACCAGTGACGTAAATCTGAGCCCATTTACGCCGCGATTCTCACCCTTTTCCTATGATTGAGACACTAAATCACGGCGGGTCTTCAGCTCCAAAAAGCAACCGACAGTAGAGCATCTTCGCTGTGTAGGTCGAATAAGGTAAGCTACTGCTGATTTCCCTGCTTATTTTACCTTTTTCAGGGCTGATTATATGAGGTTAACCAGGGTGGGAGTGTTGCGTTTTGACCTTGGGGAAGCTTCAGAACGAACATCGGTCTGTTGGGTGTCTGAAATCTTTAGGTCAGTAACAAGGATATCAAATCCTTCGCTCCTATGATTATATCATTTTCTGTATGTAATAACTGAAGTAAAATCCATTATATTCAGGCCTTCCTGGAAATCTTGGATGCTAATTTAAGATGGTACACAGTAAATTACACTCTGCTTTTTTTACTAGTTCTCATAGTCAGTCGAATTGATGCATTTGTCCGAGGAAATGTGAAAAACGGGGGAAGGGGAAGGGGAGCTTGTTAGCTCTGTATAATGCTTTCTGTGTCGGAGCGATTTCAGAAGAGATGGGAGCTCTTTTTAATGTTTTCTTGTCCTGTACTTTGTCCTGGTCTTGGTATTGGTCTGAGATTTCAATAATGGAAGGAACAGCAACAGGTCCATTGTTTTTGTATTTGATTTACTTCCCACCAGTACTCAATCTATCATACCTTTATTACCGAGAACGCAAATCCTGGAAACTGCTTGATTTGTTTATCCCCTTCCAAAATAGAGAATTGTTCAGATTATATCACTCTTTTTCTCTCCGGATAACAATGGATCATCCCTGAACTTGCACTTTGTGATTTACTGGACCATTTCTATGTGTATAGTTTTGAGGAACTGTTTACGAATTTTGACATTTGATTTAATTATTCAAACAAGCATATCCTTCTTAATGCTTGACTGGCTTGTTCGGTGAAAAAGAATAGGGTACAATTGCTCCTTAGGCAGTTAGGACACATGAAACATTATCTTTCAAGGTGAAATCTTGGTCTTGTCCCAACTGTAAATTATATGATGTGTTTGCGGTTAGCTCGGCCTTGTACCAATTTCATGTAAATTTTTCCGTAGAAACCTATTAATGAATACTTCAAAGTATTCATTTTTAGCTGCAGAAGGTTGTGCTTGCAATGAATGCATAACTAGTTTGACATGCAGCAAATCCCAATAAATTGTTTGTGGTGTTTACTTTTAATTAAGTTTGGTCTAGACATGTTCACTTTCTCTTCTGAAAGGGAATAAAGCTTACGTTAGAGTCTTGGCTGATGCATGAGATGCTCTAATGTCCATTTTCATCTATTAGATTACAAGTAAATTGTAAAACTTATGCGAAGTCATATAGGATTACAAACATTTAGAAGTTGCCAGGGAGCATTGTACCTCTTAATCCAACATGTAACCTGTCTCATTATCACCCTGTAAACCAGCTTTTTTTGTTAGACTGAACTGGTTGTAGTCATCAACAATCACCATTTCAGTACGCTTAGACCTTTCCTATTCTTCTTCTTAGTAAAGATGCTTGGTAGGTGTTGTTTTTGGCATTAGGTACCTTCTGTTTGTGATTTAATTATTTTTTAATACGAATATTTTCTCTTGATTGAAACCTAGACAGAATATTCGACGGCTGTTGCTACATGTTCCAAATATTTATGTAGCTGTTTATATTACTTCAAACTTGTGCGATCAGATGTCAAGAGTCAAATTTTAGGGCAGTTTGATTTCCCAGAAGCAACTGAATTTATAGAGCAGTCTAATTTCTCCTTGCTGTCCATTCGCTTATACAGGGTGGTTTACCGCTCTATATTGCCGCTGGCTAGGATTTAATGCCTCATGTTACCCGCCGTGCTGCCAAAGGTATATTTGCCAATTTCCCCTTTGTTCATTGCATTCTATAGTATGGTTGTCTAGTATTTGACGATCCTTGTTGTTGACACAACATTGAAGCTGATTGGGGTCCAGAAATCTCTTTCAACCAGGTCTGATTGGACGGAAAACGATATTCGGCAGTGCCTTTCTAACTACTACAAGGTACCATTGTACCTCCTGTAGTTTTTTTTTCCATATTATGTGTCTGAAACACCATTTTAGTCATAATATATTAGGGGGCTGACTCTTCTAAAGTTGGACCTTCTTCCTTGTCCCACGAAACAGCAAATTCGAACATTTTTTGTTCATTGCCTTGAATATTATTGTCGGATTTCACTATGCATGGTAGCATTTGTTATTTAGTTCTAGTTTTTGTCATAACTCTTGACTCTAAAGCAAAACTTCACATTACCAAAACTGGTTTTGTTCCTGATTTGCTAGTGTTATGTTTGATGAGTACTCAATTTAACCTTTTTTAGTTCTAGATTTTTAGATTTTGTTAACAGATTTGGCTTGATCCTCATTACAATACATGATTGTCTAGTATTTAAACCTGGTTATTGCTGTATTTTTCGGTTAACCATTGGTTATTTAAAGTGTATTTAATGGCCGACAGATTTGGGTTATCCACAGATTTGGCTGTAAAGTGTAGTTAAACGTTAATGGCTTTAAATAAAATTTAGCCGCTTATGCAATACAATCTGTTTTCCTTTCTAAAAAGCTGCTTACAATCTGTTTTTTCAACTGGATTTGTGTATGGCTTATTAAGATGAGAAAACAAAGGCGCCATCAAGATAAGGACCATTGTAATTACTCTAGGCAGCATGAAATCCAGTTTGCCAACCACCTTGTTGGGATGCATAGACAGGGTGAAATTAGGGACAATATTACTACCTACGTGGTTCCCGAATCCAGCGCCGGTTAAACGGCCAGTACGGCACCTCGTTTACTGAGGATAGTATAAGGAGCAAGTATTATGCATTGCGCGGGGAGACCAAGTTGTACATTGCCTTTAAGAGGCGTGGAACGGGAATGGGTTGGGATAGCCAAAAGTTTACATGGCTTATGGATGATAGCCAATGGGCCGCGATGGAGCAGGTATAACCATTTTCTGTGCCTTTTTTTATATAAACTGTTTTGTCATTTCATACGTGTATATTCCATTAAAACTGTTTTGGCTGAATTTGTTTTGTCAGGTCAACCCAAAATACGGCAAATTTCGGAATGACTGCACCGTCTATCATTTGCTTGAGGAAGTCTTCGTCAACCAAGGAGCGATGGGAGACTTCAGTTCTGGCTTCGAGAACGAGCTCCATACTTCAGCCGATGAGCGAGAAATGGAGACTACTGCCCGGCTTGCACGGGGAAAGGGATCAAGGTCCAGCAGGGACGAGGAAGCTGAAATTGAGGTAGGAGGGGCGAAAGAAGCGAAAGGAAAGGGGGGGAAAGGAAAGCGGAAGTCGGGTGATGGCTCTGGCTATAGTCCCATGTCCACCGCTTCTGGCTCAGTGACGATAGATATCTCAGGGTCTGTGAAAGTATCGAGTCACTGGTTAGTCGGAAGAAGAGCTCCAGCACGAGTGCCTCAGTTAGTTCTCCGAACAAGAATCGTTCTGGCCGCGATCCATCGAAGAAAACCGACTATGAAATTGCCATGGATCAACTTCGACTTATTGAGAACGTTCCTTACATGGCCAAATACAACGCGGCTGAGATATTGAAGGATAAACAAGAGCTGGCTTTTTGGAATTTAGCCAGAAGTGACGCCGACCGCATCACTTGGATGAAGTTAAAAGGCTGTTTCCCCCTGACTCTCAGGAGCCCCCTCCCCCACCCCCCTTTTAGGTGCTTTCGTTGTTCATCGGGAGCATTTATTTGAAACTTGAGTTGTTGCCTAATGTTTGTTTATATTTGAGATCTGTTAGGTGTAGCATTTGCTACCGGAACTTGGACTTTATCTTTTCTGAGTGTTGTGGTCTGTATAT